AAATGAACGGGGCCTGTAAGCCCTAAGTTTTAGGCTTTTAGGCTGAATGTCCGGGACGGGCCCTGTAGGGCCCGTGTGGCTACGCAGTATGCCACATTTCTCTCTCTCTGCTCGTCGCCGTTGTTCGTCGGCGCATGTAACACGACCCGAGGGAAAAGAACAGGAGACAAACACGAGGGGAAAAAATAGGATCTCCCCCTGACTTGATGATGTCGCCTGCTGGTCGTGTCCGCCGGTGGCTTACCTGAGTTCGGGCTTGGAGTGTCGAGGGCGGTCGCAGGAGCAAGTTCCCTTGGGTGCGCAGGCAAGATAAGGGCTCGGCGCACTTACCTCGTATGGGCGGTGCGTGGCAAGTATGGCAAGGGCTAGCCTTGGCACGCACAAAGAGTTTTTGAGCGAAGCAAGCAAGACCAGTGCGGAGGAGATGCCGAAGGGCAGGTTCTGCGTGTGAGGGGAAAAAGGTGGGCGTGAGAAGTAAGGCCTAAAGGTCAATCCAGGGTGAGAGAAGCACTAGGAGAGATGAGCAGTTACAAGAAAGGGACAGAAATAGTGCACAACAGAGTTCGTGGGAGGTGGTCTAGGAGGCAACTTGCTGCAACTGCGTGCCTAAGTCCTTGAGATAGAGGCACGCAAAGGGTTAAGGCGGTCAGATCTGGTTCACATAAGTAGAGGTCCACACGGCAGGGAAGAAGAGGGAACCCGAGTGACAATGAACCTACTCGAAAGCTCCCCGCTAAGCCTACGTGGCTGGCGTCAGCTCCTTTGATGGTCGTCAGTTCCCTCAAGCATACTGTGACCTGACATGGCTTTGGTTACTCGTTGATTGATAAGAGGAGTGATGAAGGTGAACAGCTGCGCATTTTCGTCCTCTTGTGGGTGATCTATGCCGCGTTATACTACGATGCCAAGACTAGTGAGAGTGAGGTACTGGCCGAGACCAAGCCTCATGTGTGACTTGCACAGGAGGGGAGAGTGTATGTAAACATAAGTATGGGGCAAACCGAGCAAGAAATGGGCTATTGACATCACCTATTCCTTTTGGCAATCATGGTTGTTCTTTGCCCCTGACTTTAAAAGGACGAAGTATGTGCCCTAGGCGGGCTGTACAAGAGTCAACAAACAGTGGTCGAGAGCAATATATGCTAGCCCATGCCTCTCTAGTGACTGTGACCTTGGCGGGTGATGGTCATAAGCTGGTAGAGAGAATGAGAGGTCAAGATGCATTGATGGAATATACAGATACACGAAACTCCGATCAGCAAGTGGGGTAGATGATGTTGACATACAAGAGTCATTGACCCACGCAACCTCTCTCGTTCAGGGGACTCAAAATTCTTTCTATCGAAGTCATTGGTTCACAGTTTTAGTGGACGGTTTCGGCCAACTAAATCAGCTTGACTGTTAGGTTTCACCCTGTTCTCCATCCTCTCCCCTGACATGGTTTGCTCGTTGACTCTGAGTTAGTAGACCGTGTCATCCCTTAGGTGACACGTGCAACAATTAGTTAAGGTGATCTTATATTCGCTTCTGGATACTTGAAATAATGAACTGGAGAATGAAAAGAAGGTTATGAGAGTAATGGACCATAACTCACAAGAAAATGTGAAGTTGTGTTTTCTGTTCCATAGCGAGCTGGTGGGTGGAAAGGTGAATTTGCGAGAGTAATCATAAGCGCTTGGCCTGCCTAGCATACCAAATGAGCTCCGTTACATAAATCACGATTAACACATGAAACCCCGTGTACACGTTACATGAGGGGTATGATCCTGATACTTCTCAGTATGCATGCTTGGGTGATTGATGGGTAAGAACCGACGTACTCTAAGGAAGATTGCATACCTCCTCACAAAATTCCTGGTAGATGGAGACTAATCTCGTGATTGGTCGGGGCCAATTAAACAGTGAGTTTTGTCTGAAGGGGTCGTTGGCGAAGCTGGGAGCCCCGGATGCAAAGTGTGTTTGTCCCTCCATGCCTGGCAAGTGAGAGCTTGTAGTGCAGCATTTGACCCCCCCCCTTTGCTAATTCATGTGTTTATGAAGCATCTATATTGACTGAACTTGTATACAACCACTCAGCAAATCGCTCCCTCTCTACTTGAATGTTGCAGCGAAGCAGATGTAACTCAGCCTGTATGTGGGTCCAGCAACATCCAATATGGCACCTAAGTTGAGGGATATTAGTGTCACTCCTCGCGAAGCTCGGTCGAGGGTCACGCCAACCTTGCCTCGTGTGGTTTAAACAAGAAGAAAGGTCCTAGGATGGCGATCCCTCAAGCTGAGATGAAACATATTTATTTGTTTACTTAACCGCTCACCAAACTAGTGCTTCACCCTGATTAGGACAGGTGAGCACTAACCTAAGCCTCGCTTCGAATTTGACAGTGCTCTGTGACGCTTGTGAGTGAGGGCTGGGAGTGTCGGTTTATCGTGCAAAAACGTTCAGCTAGATACCCTACCTAAAACAGAAGTGGATGCGAGGTTTCTGGCAAACAGGCAGAGGGAAACGATCTGGCCGAGAATGCCTACCCAGTGAATAAACGAGGAATAATCACTTTTAACTTTATGCTCAGGGCAATCAAGCGGAGCAGAATCTGGCTTTACTCAGAGTAACAGTATCGAGTTTTGACAAGCTTTGCACTTAAATCATTGTGCTGCTTATGGTCATACCCGGAGTGTGAGGCAGTTGTTTTTCCGTACGGGGTCCTCAAAGAGGACTTGTTCTTAGGGTGCCAATAATCAAGAAACTTTGTTTCGGCATGATACCCTCGTGTTTGTCGTGTGGTGCGAATGAGTTCTGTATTCAGGGTCTCTGGGG